TATATATCAATTATCCCACTATATGATCAATCACACTCTCTTCACTTCGACTATCAGGTATATCTCTTGACGTCAAAGGAAAAATGGAACTTCAATCATATAAAATTTATATGATTGAGATCCCATTTTCCCTTGACGTTTATCGCCTCCTCACACAACATCCCAGGATACTATACAGTGCTGCATAGTGAATAATTTTCATACCTATTAAATAAGAATCTGATATGATATTATATAATGATAAGTATTCACGAACTTTATTAATTAATAAGTAATCTTTATATTACCCACTATACTAGCACGAACTAGGCAGAGATGTGTACAAGAACCTAATATGTTATTTTCTGCTATAAGTATGAGTTCAACAAAACTTTAAATCGATCTTACAAATTATGTGAAAATTATAATTGCTAAAAAAACTTTACCTGAGGAAACTAGACTTTAGGTTTCAAGTTATAACTTACTGACTTGGCCCTAAAAAACTGTTTTTTGACAAAATAAATCGTATCAAGTTTAATTATACGTATATATTTCTGATCAGGTTTTTCAGAACTTAGCTCATTAAGTTATAAACTTGAAAACTTGAAGTCTAGTTTTACTTGGCGGTACTCGTATAATAGTATAAATCGAAAACTATTAAAACTCAAAGATAGTTATTAATATAATTCTAGATCACGTTAAAAGAAGAATCTAGAATAATTCTATCAGTGATTATTACTAAATAAGGTGCGATCGACAATATCCAAATTTGGTATATTCCTAGACTGTATTTGTATAGCTAAACTTCTTTTGTTATAAGCTAATATCTTGTTTTGCTTTTTTCACTTTGCAAATCTATCACAGTATAGTTTTTAGATTTGTTTGTGAATCTTTATATTTATATATAACAATATTTAGATTATATTTCTTTATATTATATATCTAATATCTGAAATTTTTATAACAAGTAAGATAAGATAAATCTTTCTATAGTAATCTGTAATGAGTAAAGATGTGCAGTAAAGAAAGAATAGTCTTTAAGAAAGGGATATAATTTAATAAGATCTATTATAGCCCTATTTTGTATTGGTGTTAGCTTATTGAAGCTTTTAATAATTATTTTTGTGATAAATTGATGAATAATTTGCTTAAATTTGTGTAAGTTGTAGCAGATAAGCCAATGTGTAGATAAATTTAAAATATTGTATAAGAAGCAAATAGCAGCTTGAAAATTTTTAGCATAATAAAGTAGAAATAGAAGTATATTAGCAAGTTATTAAGCTAGTTTTTAACTCTAAATACTTTTATTTAGCTTAGTTTAAAAGATGTATTACAACTACTAGCTTTTAAAAATATAAATTATCTAAAGCCAGATATATTTATATAACTAATAGCCAATTAAAATATAAATTTTGTTTAATTTAGATTAATTTAATAAAATAAAATTAAGAAAAAAAAATTAAAATTTTTTAAAAATATAAAAAATAAATATCTAAATCTATTTTAAACTACTACAGGTTTTTTCGACCTATTTCGTTTTTTAACCAATCAAATTCGTCTAAATACCAATCAAATTCATGTTTCAATCAAATTAGTATATTTTGATCTATTATCGATAACTTGCTATCTAGTGGTTTAATTTTGATGAAATTGATACTATTCAAATCCTCTCTATAAGAGGATTCAAATGGTACCAATTTCATCAAAATTGAACCACTAGATAGCGAGTTATCGATAATAGATCAAAATATACTAATTTGATTGAAACATGAATTTGATTGGTATTTAGACGAATTTGATTGGTTAAAAAACGAAATAGGTCGAAAAAACCTGTAATAAAAAATATTAGAAAGATAATTTTATTTATAAAACCTTATCTTTTAACTAGCCCTTACTCTAATTTTAATTAAATAATCAAAAATAATAAATATGATAAACTTTAGCTATTCTTTAAAAATAAATATAGTAAACAATACTGATTTTAAAGAGAATAAGCTAGATTTTTTATTTCTAAAATAGTTTTAAAAAAAAGTACTATCTGTTTTATTTTTTTAAAATAAGCTTACTAAAACGCACCACTGGTGTTCAACACCAGTATATTATATATGTTGTATAATATAAAGATCATTATCAAAACAAAATAAATAAAAAATTAAATTTTTTTAGTATTAGGGTTAGAGTTAAAGCTTGGGATAGAGTGAAGACATAGTTTATACCAAAATTTTGCAAGAAATTTTTTTTATTAGAGCTTTAAAGATAGTTTCATAAGCAAAATTTCAAGTTATTAAAGATTTTTTAAAAAACAATTAATTTTTATGTTACATCTGATCTTTATGTTACACAACAGATAAATAATTTTATTGGATAAAATTGATGTGGTGTTGGCCCACTGGTGTATTTTAGTAAACTCGTTTTAAAAAGTAGAAGTTTTAATAAAATTCTATAAAACTTATAAATAAAATATTAATATTTAATTTGCTAATAAATAATAAACTTTAAGCTTGTTGGCAAATAGCATATAAAAACTACTTTTAAACAACAAATATTATTTTTGCAATAAGTAATAAACTCTAAACCTAATAGCAAATAGTATATAAAATTCTTTTATTTTATCCATTAATATATTAGCATATCTAAAAAATATAGTTTCATTTTTTAAAAAAATTAACTTTTTCTAAAACATATTTTAACTATTAATAAAGCTAGCTCTAATAGTTAATTTTGTATACATAATTAATTTACTTTTATATATGTATATTAAGTAAATTTATTGTATTGTATTATTATCAAGAATTGTTTTAATATTAGTATTACAAATTGCAATACACATGTGACTTTTATCTTTACAATGAATTGAATATTTTAAATAAAAACAATAGCAGCTATGCAACCTACAATAGAATTATTAGAATTAAATTTTAGGTTTGTTTTAAAAATTAATAAATTACAAAAAAGTTTATAAAAATTGAAAATTAAATACTAAACTTAAAAGAAAAAAGGCTGTATTCTTGGCTAAGAAAGTGGAACTTATAACTAGAATAATGGAAATTAGAGCATTGTGCAAAAAAGATACAAAGTATTCAAAGCTAAGAGATTCTGAACTTAATATCAAAATAGATCAAATGGTAAAAAAAAACACTAAAAGCTCAGTTGTGAAATTAAAACAAAACTAGTTCCAAAATGATAAAGAAAAAAACAACTCTAATACTAAATCAAATAATAATATCAGGAAAACAGATCAGTATTCAGTTAATACTAACTCAACTATAGAATAGAAAATTTACTTTTGAACAGATAAACTTTTCACTTTATGAAAATGATGCACCAGTATCTAATACATCTGACAAAGCTCCAAATTCTGATGTATGTCAGGATTCAAAGATTCAATGCTCCGTATCATGTAGTTAAATTTTCAGCAGATAAAAAGATCGATGAATTTCTGGATCGGGTACATAAAGAAAATATTAGCAATTAAATAAGAAAAAAAAACCGCAAAGCACATCTTCCTCTTCTGATATACAAAATGAGGTCAATCCTGTTATCGATACCCGTAAGCATAAATCACCAATCAGAATCAATACCTACACAAAATACTGGAATAAAAATTCAAAATATGAACATAAAGTTACTGGATCTGAATCAAATTAAACCAACTTTAAGTTCAAATATGTACCCAGATTTGGACAATTTAGACCTTAGTTTTAAATGTACATGAGTTAAATCAACTGAATTCAACTGAATCTTAAGTTCAGAAATTTCTGGTTAAAACAAATTAACTAATTTTAATTGTAAATATATCCGGATTGGGTCAAATTAAACAATATAAGATTTAAATGTATCTGGGTTGAACTAATTATGGTTCAATATACCCGGGTTGGATCAAATTGAACTAATCTTATGTTCAAATATATCCGAATTGGATTAAATTGAGCCAATCTTAGTGCCGTGTTAAGTTATACGTAAAATTTGATTGGATTTTTGTTTGTATTACATAACTAGGTATATAGAAGGCTGGATAGATCATCGGTATTACAAAATATCAATACTTATTTAATTATTATGCCATACTGCCATACCGAGTATTTCTTGCATTTTCGTTACGTATAAATTTAGTTTATTACAAAGTACTTTACTCAGCAAGGTGTTGGATGACCATATATTATTGGTCAAATCACAATCACCAGGTAATTATAAATTATATATACGTAAATATGATATAAACTATATCGACCGATTTGGTTTGACCCAAATTAGCCATTCATGATTGAAAATTATTTGATTCTTATAAAAACGGTTACTTTAAAGCTATAATCTAGTGTAAAGAATATTGTAATATCTAAATTTGGTTAAAGTTAAAAAGGCTTTTTTTTTGAAATACTCAAACGCTTTAATAGTGATAGTGCTTTCTTTTATAGTTTAACATGGCTCATTTGTTATTCTTCACATCAAAAAAGTTAATGTAACGGTTTATCGACCTAAAAATCAAATCGGTGGATATGTTTAAATTCCACCTGTATTAATCTGTTTTTAGTTTAATTTATATGTTAATTAAAATTTTACGTATTAGCTAACCCTTAATCGAATAAGGCTAAACATAAAACCTTACGTAGTTTTAATTGACTTAACTATGTGATCATCATTTTAAAATTAGATTTTTCACTATTTAGGTATTAAATTTTGCCTTTTACTGTGAACTGGTTCCCATTTATTATTATATCTTAAAATGATTAACTTATGTGATACAATGGGTTAATTATGAAAAACAATTTACATTTCGTAGAACAAATAAAATCCCAGTCTACAAAGGTTAAACACAACCGATATAAGAATTATGACCAAACTGATAAATTTTGTCTAAACAAAAGAATGAATAACTTATATGCAACTATATAATAAAATGTGACTTAATCCCTTTGTGCAATATTTAATAGATGTTTATCTTAAAAGTTCATAATGAGTAATGAATAAGTTTTTACTATCACGCAAATATAACCTTTTTTTTTTTTACATTAAATAACATTTTAAGCTTTAGAAGCACCCTTTGAACTATAGTTCTCTGTTCTCCAGTTTTCCCTAGATTTTAACTTTTCGTCTCTTTCAGGTGATGTAGGTGATGTAGCTCGCATAGCAGCTCTGCGTTGTTGCATTTCAACCATTTGTTGTTGAACTCGTGCGATCTGTTCTTGAATAAATCCAACTGCTTTCTTCATCTGTTCAGTTATAACACCTTCAACTTGACGTTTAATACGTTTTTCCGCCAAAGGAGTAAGTAACATGTACAGGAAGCTTATATTTTAGCAACATAAGATTAATTAATTAGTAACATAATAAAATTATATAAAAAATAATAATTAATTAAATGATACTCACTCATGTTTCGTGTCGTGTAAGCGAATCTTCAAATCGGATATCTTAGTCTCCGCCTCAAGAACACGGAATTGTGTGAGCTGTGTATCTGCGTTAGGTAGATCCAAAGAGAGTTTCATGTAATACCGTAAGCCATCAGCAGGAATTGCGAAATCAACCAAACCGACCTATATAACATACAATTAATTTAGCCGTAAATCAAACGTTATTATAAAAATTTTGAATGTTACTCACATCACGCATTTGGATTAATCCGCCCTTTTTCTTATAATAAAACGCAATATTGCGAGCATCAGCACGAAGCTTGGAACTAATCAGGAAATGCTATGAGTATAATATTTTACAAAAATTAACACAAAAAAAAAAACATCAAAATACATTTCAAAAACTGCAGTATTCTGCACAACATCGTTCGCCTCACGATCCAAATTAATATCAGAAGTCAAACTAATATGAAGATGCTTGGGAAGAATATCAGACACGTGAAGTACGATATTATCGAAACTATATTCGTAATTCTCATCAGAGCTACTAGGGGGAAATCCGTATTTAGTAAATGTATTAAATGTAAGTAAATGATCATAGTAATAATTGTATAGACATACTTTTCTAATCGTGGCAGTGGAATAAACTTCAATTTTTCGGCCACGATCGATAAGATTTTTCCAAAGTCTTTAACTAATTCAAACTTAATAGTCGGACGACCTTTCTCGTCCAAAAAGACATCTTTAATCAAACATTCAAGGTCTCTAGCCCACTGTCGAGTAGTTCGATCTTCTTGTAAAGCTTCATTAAAGGCAGATGCTTCATCAACGATCCTTTGTGTGGTATCCCTATAATTATCCAACAAGAGCTGACGACCATTTTCAATGAGACGTGAACCTTCTTCTCTATAATTGGTACTCTCAACAAATTCGTGATCACGTAAAGAGGAGAGAACAAAATGTTGAAGTTTTTTGAAGTAATTATGAAGCTCTTCATGATTCTTAATTTGTGTACCCATATCTTTCAAGGCACAAATTAAATCATCTAATGACTTGTTATTGGCAAAATTTTCGATAAGATTCTTAGCATTTTCTTGAGCAATTTTAAGTGATGGAATATCATTACTGGTGCCTTTGGTAGTTGAAACAACATGACCAGCGGCCTCTTGAGTATAATCCGAAAAACGAGACAAGACATCAACAAGATCGGTAAGAGCTTCTTGATATTCGGGACTACTTTGAGTTTCGATCATGAGAGTCCTAAATCGGTTAATAATACGATCACGTTTCTCGGGCGATAATTTGTAGCTAGTCACTCTGTCTTTAACAGAGGTAGCAAGGGTCTTCATTCCATCACCGGCAGCTTCTTTTAAAGATTTTCTACCTTCACCAAAATCTTTTATATGCGGACCGACGATTTCTGCTCCAGCCCGAGCCACAGGATATACACTTTCGCGACCGTGCTGTGCGACATCTTGAGCAAATTCTTGTGGATCTTTTTCCTCATCTTCATGTGGAGTTTGAACATCATCCTCGCGACCAGGAACGTAAACTGATAAAGCTTCTTTAATGATATGATTAATATCATTCACCAATCTTCGAAATTCTGGACTTGAAATTAACAGCTGAGGGATCTATATGAAAGACGTAAATGAATAAATACGACGGTAAATTAAATTAATACATTTTTTTTTTTTTTTTTACTTACCAATAAGGTCTTTTGCCAAATTGCTTTCACCGATGGTTCTGCCGAAGCAAGATGTTCATCTACTCTTCGCTTCAAATCTTCTGGAATCGATGAAGTAGTTTCTTCAATGTGAAAAAAAATTTACCCGTTATTCATAAAAGGAAAGAAATTCATCATAGTATATAAAATGCATTAATTAAAACTACCTTTTATTTCCCTTGCTGCTTTAGCACCATAATACACGGTATTCTGTAATTCATCATTAGCATTCTTCTCGACCAAAAGAGTTTTTGTAGTTTCCAAAAATTTTTCGGCATCAGCAAACACTTTTTTGCCTAAAGGTGACATTCCACGAGCAGTTGAATGCATCGCATCAGACTCTTGAATAGAGTCAATGGTTGTTGTGATTTGCTCAGTTGTCGGAATTTTTCCTTCCCTGTTAAATTCAGATAAATTAGAGACTACATAAATCATTCAAATTATTCAAGAATATTTTGATAAAATACTTTAACGCTCCGGCAAATTGATTTGCCTTTTCAGCAGTTTTTAACGCATCTTGCTCAGCAGAGGTACGTGCAGGATCATTCTTAGGTGGAAGTTTTTTGCTTGACATATTGTTCTTAGTTTTATTTACTTTTAATTTATAATTTATAATGGATATAAATTAAATATTTGCTTGTGATGAGAAAATTTATGATTTTTAAGATTGACTTTTGAGAAATGCAATTTATGATAAGAAAAAAAAAAGGTACATTTCAACCCTTTATATACGTGTGTAGACGATATTAGTCTATAGCATTAATTTTTACGTCATTTTCGTTCATAATCTATTAAACACGTCATCATTGGCAAAATTAAACAAATGACTTTCAATATATGTCATCGAATGATGTATTTATTACAGTAAAGGTAAGTATATTAGCAATTGTAAATTGTGACGTAGCATTCTTTGAATATATGATGTCTTTGTTCGATAATCAGTAAACAGTATGTGATCGAGTATTACATAATTTTGAATTCATGTGAAGTTTCTTCTCTTAATTATTTGATTACATTAATTGCCTAAATGATAAAAAAATCCGGAATTCTTATTAGAGTTAGATGGAGAATTCAGGCTTTCCCTCTGCAACACTTAAATTTAATTTTCACAACTTTTAACAAATCTTTAACAATACTTTGGCTTTCAGGTATAATTTTTAATAAACATTAAGTGATTTTTACAACATTTAAAATAAATATCTATAGGGCGTTGGCGAAACTTTAATTTTAATTTTCAGCTTACACAACTCTATTTAATCTAGTCAACCATAGGTCAAGTCATTAACATCCTTATTTAAGTATTAACCCGGAATGTAAAGTATGTTATCTACTATCATTTTTTTTAATGTTCTTATTGCAAATTTTTGTGAAAATTACTAGACATTGTTTCATGTGATTGGCAATAAGATCCTCCTGTAAATGCTCATGCCAGGCACTACAGTAGTGCCTTGTGCCGTGCCTATTCCCGTAGAAACAAAATTGCCAGACACATTATGGGCACGGGCACAGAGTACCAGGCACTACTAAGGCACGGGCTCAAGGTGCCAGAGCACTAAAGTGCAAGCGAGTTACATCCATACTTACAAAGGTTCTTTTGCTAAGTTTTTGTATATGTGCCCATGTCCATTGCCAAATTTGTGTTTGTGCTATAGTTGCCCAAACCTAACCAGTTTGGGGCGTTGTGAATTTCTAAGGTATTAACCATCATTTGGGACTAGTTAAAACCGTGGAACTTGTCCCAAACCTACTGTATAAATTGGGATTTTGGACAAAATTTCAGATATTACCAGTTTGGGTAAATAGTTCTAACTATTTGGACGGCAACTATAGTTTGTGCCTATGCTTATAACTATGCTTTTTGTTAGGCATCGGCACAGGCCCAGTCTGTAGAATTCCAATTAGCAATAGGAAATGTTAGTAAATGACGCACTTTATGTTCTGTACTAATAATCATGTTTGCCGATGACCTAAATCTTTTTTTTTTTGGTTATATAATCATATGATTTTTGGATGTTAATAAATATTTTTTACTATGATTCTTGTTATCAAGGTTTAAATTGGCATGCATAAGATGCACATATGCAAGAGTTTTTTTTGAAAATAAAAAATTTATACAAGTAAAATTTTTTTAAAAAAAGCTGCACAAAACATATAAACATATTTATATTTATGCAAGTAATTTTTAAACGCCGCGCGGTATATAAGTTATTAAAAGGTCAAACTTATATCAACCTTAAAGTTCATGGAGATCATTTAGGGTCACTGGCCAACATTGATAAAATGTCAGAATAATATTAACTAACCTTTTATCGCCGTAACTACAAATATTGAATAGAGCGAAAGAATTTAGATAACAAGTTAAATCAATCAGATATAATGATACTATTATTATTTTTGTTTCATTCAGATATAAATGAAACGTAACGATAACAAATATAGCATCTTTTATGCCTATCCGAAATAGAAATGGGCATAGCTAATAAGTTTGTTAACATGCAACCAAAATCCTTTGAAAAGTTAATTAGATATTTAAAACTTACTATATCTGGCCTACTGTATAATCTTTTTTTGTCAAGTTGACACGAGTTCTTAGTCAATTTGTATGATGACGAAACCAAAAGCATTCAGGAATAAAATTTATCCTAGATTTAATTTAGAAGTGTCAAACCGTAACATTTTTTAGTCAGGCCATAAAATTTCGCATCTCGTATATATACATGTTATCTTAAAATTTTACTTCGCTTCCGATAATACCTTATAAATAGTTTGTTTATGTAATAACAAATTATTTAAAGCCATAAAAAATCAAGTTAAATCCTAAATACGCATGTGAATTTATTTACAAAAACTACTACGACTTCAAGCAAATAGAAAGGAATTTCGACTAAAAAAGCAGCTATTAGCTATGTGTAATGCTTTCAGTAAACGCTATCATAATTAACGCTTGAATATTATATTATTTACAATCACTTTTGGCATTCAAGGTTAATTTGAACTGTTTTCACTTGAGTATATAATTCTAACGCGTATTTTCCGAGCTCACGACCAAATCCAGATTCTTTGAAACCTCCAAATGGGCTAATTTTAAGAAATAAAAATAAGTAAAAAGAAATACAAGATAGTGACAAAATAAGAGAACCGAAAATTTCAAATTCTTACGCATTGGCATTAACTACATTATAGCAATTAACTGTAAAGTATATAATAGAAAAGTTATTTATGTATAATTACGTATAAAAGTTGTAGTTATATAAGAGAGATTTAGAAAAACTTACCCCACACCGTGCCAGCTCTCAATGCATTTGAGACTTTTATTGCTCGAGATATATCTTTAGTGAAGACAGCTGCAGCCAATCCATATTTTGTCAGGTGTGCCTTTTCAATTACTTCGTCGACAGTTTTGAATTTTGCAATGGCCACAACGGGTCCAAATATTTCTTCTTGCATGATTTTCATATTTTCGTTCTTAAAATATTACAAAGTAAAAAAAGCTTAAATACGTATACATTATAATAAGTATATGTGTTGGAATAAAACTTTACCACATCAGTGAAAATAGTTGGACAGATGAAATAGCCTTTGTCACCATGTCGTTTACCACCCAATAACAAAGTTGCCCCTTCTTTCTTGCCAGATTCAATGTAAGACATGATTCTAAATATATGAAATAAATTATTTAGTAATATTATTTTACAATATAATACATATCTTTATATAGTATAATGTTACCTATCAAATTGTCGTTGAGAAACTTGAGGACCTTGAAAAGTATCTTCATGAAAAGGATCACCGACTTTGAGGTTTTCAGCATACACTTTGAATTTTTCAACGAACTTATCATAAATAGAATCTTCTACATAAACTCGAGAGCCAGCGCAACAGCATTGACCATGATTGGAAAAAATTCCTTGATACGACCATTTAACAGCATCTTCAAGGTCTGAATCAGCAAATATAATGTTTGGTGATTTTCCACCTAATTCCAAAGAAACTTTCTTCAGGTTACTATCTGCGGAAGCTTTTAATATGGATCTTCCTACGACGGTAGACCCTAAGAAGAAATTTAAAGATGAATAAATAAATCAAAATAAAATCAAAATAAAATCAAATAAAATAAATAAAATTCTTTACTATGAACTCAGAATCAATTCAATTTACCTGTGAAAGCAACTTTATCGATTTTCATATGATGAGCAATAGCAGAACCAGCTGGAGAACCGAATCCGGACAGAATATTAACGACACCTTTTGGAAACCCAGCTTCTCTAAATAAGGCGGCAACTTTTAGGGCAGTCAAAGGAGTTAATTCAGATGACTTAAGTACTACTGCGTTGCCTATGGAAAAAATAAATATTGTTAATAATAGACAATTTTAATCACATTTACAGAATTATCATGTTCCAACATAAATACCGCATGCTAAAGCTGGACCTAATTTCCAAGCTAACATAAGCAGTGGATAATTCCATGGAATAATCGCACCACAAACACCAATTGGTTCGTGACGCGTATAGCAAAATTTATCGGTTTGGGTCTCAATAACCTACCAAAATAGACAAAATATCACATCCAAATGACAATTTGAGACATTAAAAAAACTTAACCTAGTTATGATAAAAACAATTTACCTTGCCATGGATCTTGTCACACCATCCAGCAAAGTATCTAAAAACAGCAATTACAGCTGGAAGATCTTCGGATTTTGCTATCGTACAAGCTTTACCATTATCTAAGGATTCAAGAGCAGCTAATTCATCAGTATCACGTTCAATTAAATCAGCAAGCTTATTTATTAATCTTCCACGTTCTTGGCCGCCTATATAAATCCATTTCTCATTAAAGGCTTTTGTAGCAGCTTCAACGGCGATATCAACATCTTTTTCAGATGCTTCTACTACAGAGGTAATAACTTGGCCAGTTGCAGGATTGATGGTCTCAAAACGTTTGCAATCAACAGAGTCAACAAATTCGTTATTAATAAAAAGACCAGTATAAGCTGTATAATAATAATAATAATAATAATAATAATAATCCAGATTAGAATAAATGTATCATAATGTATCAAAAATCTATATAGAGATAGCGCACCTTTAACAGTTTTACCGTTAGGCAAAGTAATATTTTCTTCGTATTTTGACATATTGTTTAGGAAACGAAGTACGGTAATAGGGTGAGAATTTTTTTTCGTTAGATATTTATATATTTGTTAAAAAATGTGATTATCAGCAAGATCATGAATACGTATCCGATATGTCCGTATGTACGTACGTACGATAATATTACGCATAACACTGAACGTTAATAGGAATAAGAAACTTGAAATTTTTCGTTATCGTTATACCGGGTTTGTCTAAAATAACGACTGCGGAAATATTCATTAATGATCTTGGATTGGTTAATTTATTGCCTTTTTGAGATAATTATTTAGTGATTTTTCCATCGTAATTGTTATGAATTTTTCGATAATGCAAAAATTGTGATCTTGATTGCTATTTTCTTAAAAAAAAAATCGATTTGAGTATCAAGTTTCTTTGATGCAAGTGGAGGAGTAAGGGCCATTTATGATTGTGAACCTTACATGAATTGTTATTTATGAACCTTGTAAGAAAAGCTGTGCAGCATGTGATGCCGCGCAAAACCAGTACAAGTAAAATTCAAACTACCATATTCAACTAATCTGTTTAGATATACTGATTATGAAAGATCTCCATACTCTCCAAATAAAATTAATATGAATAAAATGAAAATTGCGGTGTGATATAATAAACACTTATTGCAAACAGAATGAAATTGAATAAATTAATGAAGCTGAGGTAAATCATTAACTGTTAATTTACCATAGTTTGTCTGATACGCTCCGCAGCTACTAACTACCGCCCTCCTTTTTTTTTTTTTTTTTATCCTATCACTGTTCATTTTACACGTCATGACTGCACAAGTACTTTCACAACTTTTAACACCTTTATTCACTCTCTTTCCAATCTGCACCATTAATCCTTCAAATTGATCTTTCAATCACGTAATATTCAAATTTATTTCTCGATCGCTTGCTTGGCTTTACACTAATCGAATGGACGTTGACATTCATGCCTTTTGATGGTTATCTTCAAGATATTCAAGACCTTTCTTATTGAGTATCACCTCCGGTGCTATCCTATTTTTATCCTTACCAAGATAGGTTAGCCACTGATTTCCTTATTCCAATTCTTTCCGTTTAATTTCTCGACTTTCTAACGCTTTTGCATCCTTTGGCTCAATATCTAATAACAACCAGTTCAGCAAGTGATCCTTCGAATCTATCGTACGGCAATAAGATTCCCGTCGATTACATAATGCGAAATACATCATGTTCATCGTCATCAACACCTGTCTCGTGAAGAATTGGCAACTTTCGAAAAAGCTGAACAGAATTATTTCATATTTCACGTTGCACATTTATGCGACCGCACTAGCGCCAGTACTTGTTGCTATTAGCAATTACATCACGATGATACGTATAATGGCGTATAGTTATGTCATACGGTATACAAAAATCCTAACTCTTTCTAAAAAAGGATTTTGCGAAAATCGGTATACGTCTGTTGTTGCAACCGTGGGAGAGACTTGGCTAACATGAGGTCAAATTAGCTCAGGGTTACAAACATAGGTTATGCGAAATGAATGTTCATTAGGGGATTCGGAATTAATGATAATGGATGTATTTATTCATTTAGTTATTTAATCGAAGCAAAAGAATATAATATAGCATCATCATCCTAATAATAATGTTCTTTATTAGTTTAGTCGCTGTATTTATACATTTCAAATCCTGAGGGTCCAGGACCCAAATCTGGGGTTTCAGACCCTTATCGGGGGTCTCAGACCCTTATCTGCGGTCTCAAACCCATGCAAAGCCATAAGACTAACAAATATAGTAAGAAATACAATCACCATAAAAAAAATATTACAAAGAAAATTTGAACACAAAATTTTCAGAACACTGTACGTACGTAGTGAAATCAAAATAATTTACACATTCATATGATCATGTGTACTTCGGAATGGAATACGTACTGCAGTACTGTACTTAAGCTAATTATTACAAACGTGATTATTAGGATGACAGCTACTTCTGCCAGCAATTTTGCCTTACTTATTTGTGACACTAATTGTGCTTGTAAAGCTTCTCTTAATAGTTTTTGAAAGAATATTAAGAAAAATTTTAGCTCATGTAACTGGTATAACTTAAATCTCCGTCTGGAAGGCTAGTCACTGAAATTAAATAATTGAAAAAACTTCATCTTGTACAAGTTGTTCATATTGCTCAGGAATCTACAAATAAATTAAAAAATTGCTTGATTTTAAATTACATACCGCATCTCATAGTTTCGAAGAACCAATATGGGGTCTTTGCTTTGAAAATCACGTTATGGGACTATGTCCCATAACGTGATTTTCAAGACAAAGGACCCATATGTTCAAAACGCCTTGATGTAAACGACAAAGTATGTCCTATATTTTGTCGGCAGGACATGCTGGAAAATTTAATTGTCAATATTCCAAGATGATCTTTATCAGTATTTAAGGGATCTTGAAAACAGAAATCATAATTTTCTCGTGTAATAAAATAAGGGCTTAATGACGTCAATAACAGATTTGACATCGCGAAAATTAGTAAGCTTTTCAAATGCATTGCGAAATAAAAATGAATGTTCTTGTACAGTATTTTTAAAATTTTACAATATAAAGCGATTTGGCGAATAAGAATTTCAATTTCATTTATATTATATATATTATTTTTACTGACTTGATAATGATTAAATTTTAATTTTAAATCCATTTATTAAGTGGGAAAGAGTCAGTTTAGAATTCAGGGTTGCGACCCAAACTCTTTTTTTTAGTTACGGCGTTTCTACTTAGTTTTGGTTTGGGAATTGGTATTCTACCTAGTTTGGGTTCATAACCAAAACCCAAATATGTATCCCATTTTGGTAAATAGTGTCAAACTCAAAACTCAATTCATTAAATAAATATTCAGCATTTAATAGAATAGTCTTTAAACACCAAAATCAGGTATTCCATGTTTAAAGATTGATAATCTGAAGATCGAATCCAATTCAAGAACCATGAATGGATTGGTTATCGATTAATTAAATATATAAAATAACACGTAAAAATTTTGTTGGAGTGTTGCCAGGTAATAAACAAGCAGAATTCATATTCATCATTAAAACTTAGGAAGAAATTGATTGTCAGATAATATCAGGAACGAAGTGCAACAAAGAATATGGTTATATTCAAACGCATCTGATTAGAAATCCATTCTTATAATTCCACCTAGAGATTTCTATATAAAATCGTAGTATTCGATGTATGCATGAGTTTAAATGATGTAATAAGAAAATGCAATCGAAAAGAAATATATTTCTATAATATCATGATGAAATGTTAAATTTCCTCGTCTAGTCATTGTTTTAAATATAAATACTATTTAATTACCAATCCAGATAAGAAGGGTAGGATTTTATAAATTATGAAAGTATAATTTACTATGTTTTTTATATAAGAATATAATTTTTTTTTCTTCTACACTTATAAAAATTTAATATAGTTATAAAAAATAAAATATAAATATTTTCTCATCTACCTAACCAATTTAAATAAATTTTTTATATTATATATAAAAGAGTTTTCTCTATATTTTTTATTAGAAAGATAAAGTATATTAGCATAATAAAAAAAATAATTTTCTATGAAGGAAAGGAAGATTTCATAATTATAATAAATTTAACAGTAATTTGCGCATATGTGTGAATCAGCAATTAAACTTTTTAAATTTGTAATATGTGCAAGTTATACCGTATTATCAATTTATGTAATATGTATTGCACTAACATACACTTATTTTGTTTTACATACAGGCATAAAAAATGAAACTTGTAACGGTAAAATTATACGACACTCTGGTTATACCAACATCTGAATATAATGAGATCTTTCTATATCAGCGCTTTTTTTTCAAAAAATTTCTAATATAAAATGTCGGTATAACTATTACGTATCACATTTAGATTTTTTTGTTAATGAAAAAAAAACTGTCGATATATCCAGAATAACGAGAATAACGTGTATTAGTAACGGAGTGTAGGTAAATCGTGCTTTGATGTCAAATTTTCGTGATCTTTTTGTGATCTTATTGGCTAAGGTGCTGGACTTTAAACGATCTCTTTGTTTGGGATGAGTCCCAATCTCATAGGCAGACATTCGTATGATTGGCAGTTTAAATCAATTTAATAATATAATTTAACATTATTTATACAGTTTAAAGTACCTTTTAAAATAAGGATATAGAAAGTTTTATTAGGGTTGTAGGACTCCACGGTGATACCTAATTTTAAGAAGTCGTTATTATGCTAACTTATCTAAAACAACAAAGAATTTTGATTATTTTTAATAGTGGAGTCCTACAACCCTAATAAAACTTTCTATATCCTTCTTTTTTGTTTATT